AAGTGTAAAAGTCAAAGTGTAAAAGTCAAAGTGTAAAAGTCAAAGTGCAGCTGACGCTGCACATGAAGTGTGATTATAATTTATTAACAGGAACATTTTCAGGAGCGTAACGGTTAAAACGTACAAAATGGAAACTTGTTACATGAATGTGGAGTCAGATACAGAAGAAACATCTGGATATGATCATCAGATTAATAATCCTGTGTGATCAGCTGCACACAGGAAGGAAACACAAGAGAGTTAACTCTGGACCAAAACGTAAAAATGAATTTAAAGAAAAACTTATACATTTGACGGTTACAGTAAAATGTTCAATCTTTCGTTTTACAAGAGTAACTCGTTTGCTTTTCTTGTATGCTGCTAATTATAACACGAGATGTGAGAGCACACGTTTAGATCACAAACCTTATTTATTGGACCTGTTGCGCAGCGTCTCTTATCGGGTGTGCTGCTTGACGTCAGTGCTCTTGGTACTTTAACCCTCACCTCTCCAGCAGCTGTTTGCTCCAGGGGTTCACGCGTTCCACAGACGTTCCTTGTTTTCACCCTGCTGCTGCCGTCACTCTGGAACGCCAAGAAAAACAGAAGAGCAGAATCTGGTGTGGACATCCTTAACCCCGAACACACGTAAACTTGTGGAATTACAACTTTAAAAAGTGGAAGAATCCTGGAAACAAGCATGATGTTGAAGTGATCAGTGGGGATGAACCTGCATAAATAAAGGCTGAATGAAGTCATTTGTTTGAGAGGAAGTTCAGGGTTTTTGAAAGGTGACTCTTCACTTTTTGGTCCAGCTACATTTCAAACTTCAGCTCTAATCATGACATGGATGACGACTGAAAGAATTAGATGTTGGAATGAAGTGGCTGAAACTGTCTGGGGTCAGTTTTAGACACGAGTCACTGTCACTGAGGAGGAACTCGGAGCTGAGCTCCTCAGCTGCTCCTCCTGCTCCATCACTTTCAACACAACTCAAAATGCTAGAAGTGCTGAGAGGAACATGAACTTGGTTGAGTTGATCTGGTGTAATGTGCACGATGTGTGCACTGGATGTGCAGCTCGTGTCTCACCTGCTGAGCAGCAATCAGAGGAAAACACCAAACATCTGGTCTTGGGGTCAGCTTGGACATCAAGCTACACATGGGGCCGTCTTCACTCAGAAACACTTTGCTCACTCGGCTCCCATAAACAACTAGTTTACACAGGTGGAGGTGAAAAATGCACTAAATAAAATCAATTCTATTTGTTCCATTTTTTACATCAGTCATTTGTAATAAAATACTAAAGGAAGCAAAACTGAAAGAAACAGCAATGGTTACAGTAAAATGTTCAATCTTTTGTTTTACAACAGTAACTCGTTTGCTTTTCTTGTATGTTGCTAATTATAACACGAGATGTGAGAGCACACGTTTAGATCACAAACCTTATTTATTGGACCTGTTGCGCAGCGTCCACGGAAAGTGCCTGGTGACCGGGTCTCTACCCATGGGGACCGGTCGGGCTCAGCCCGAATGAGCAACATGGGTTTGCCTTCCTGAGGCCCACCACCTGCACAGGGGCTCACACGAGTTGGACGCATGAGTCCATGGGCAGTGGCCAAAGGTGGGGGCTTGATGCTCTGACCCTGATTCACCAACGTTGGCTCTTGGGGCATGGAATATAATCTCTCTGGTGGGGAGGGAGCCTGAGCTTGTGCATAAGGTTGAGAGGTACCGACTAGATATAGTTGGGCTCACCTCGATACATGACATGGACTCTGGAACCGATCTCCTTGGGAGGGGCTGGACCTTATTCCACTCTGGAGCTGCCCGTGGTGAGAGGCGCCGAGCTGGTGTGGGACTACTTGTAGCCCTCGACTTGGTGCCTGTGTGTTGGAGTTTTCCCCGGTAGATGAGAGGGGCGCTTCATCAGAATCAGGATCAGAATCAGCTTTATTATCATTGTACCAGGACACAGTGACATTATGTTCGTACAGTCGTCCGAAAGATGAGCGGAGTGCACGTTGCTGCTGCTGCTGCTGCTGCTGCTGCTATAACACGACCCTTATTAGTTATGAGAATACTTTTAGATAGAAGAGGGAAAAAGGCCATGAGGGTGGACAGTGATTTTTGAAAAAGATCTCGTCCCGTCTTGTCCTATCAGGACAAGATTTGAGAAATAAAAAACTCTACCAGCAGCATATTTATACACAATGTTTATAAACACTATTTATAAACACTATTTATACACATTATTTATACACATTATTTAGAAACACTATTTATACACATTATTTATACACATTATTTAAAAACACTATTTATACAAATTATTTATACACAATATTTATAAACACTATTTATACACATTGTTTATAAACACTATTTATACACATTGTTTATAAACACTATTTATACAAATTATTTATACACAATATTTATA